GTCAGAACGGAGCTCGGCGACACCCAGTCTTGCAGCATCACTTTGCACTTTGAAGGTGCAAAGCGCATACCGAACGGAGCGACGGTACTGGTCGGTCTGTCAAGTGCACAGAAATGGCGAAATGGGGAACTCTTGACGAATAGCGCTGCTACTTACTCTACTCAGTTCGCCGTAGACCCTTACGCTCCCGCAGTTTTTGAGTGGATAGAATTCAGTGTTTGCATACTTCTGCAGCATTTCTTTGCGAAGGAGCGAACCCACAAAGGAATCGTGGTCAAATGAGTCAAGAGCTTCTTTCAGGTTAAGGAACACAACAACCGTTGGTCGACGGTGTGTATGACGTAGCTCGATGACTTGACGCACAGTGAAGATTTAGTTGATACAACCGCGGCCTGGCCTGGCTGCTTTTCGTTCGAGTATATTTGTCTCCGTAAACGGTGTCAGACTTCGAATTATAACGGAGGCTAATAACTTGATGACGAGTGGAGATAAACTTATTCCACGGTGGTTTGCGGAATCATTCATTCATTCATTCTAGGATGACACAGTGCATCCTTGTGACCAGATGTTACACATTAAATCAGTAATGGAGTCGACGAGGTCATCGTTTCTCATCTAGAAAACAGTGGGATGAAGCCCGTCCGGTCCTGCCGCTTTTTCTTTCTTCACGGGTTGGATGTGAGAACGAAATTTTGCTTTGGTAGGAGTTTCACATGACACTGCCCACGGAGCCTCAACTACAACAGTCGATATAGCCTGGTTATAAAGGGCTATCAAATATAGTGATGTACGCCGATGATTTTATCATCCAGGATACAAATGTCTCTCTTCTACAGGCCTCGATCGATGCTACGAAACATTGATGGGCGTACTGGAAACTTCTAATCAACAACGATAAAGGTGTTGGTATGTTTTTCAAGAGAATCTATTCTCCGATTTTACGATAGACAGCTTTCACCTTGTATCCCAAGTAGACCAATAAAAAAATTTGTTTTGTTAATAAATTACAGTTCGTCTTTCTCGTTTTATGAACATTCAGCTAATAAGGCCGTTTTTCGTGCACTACACCTCATAAGATGTTTACCTCAAATTATAAACGGACGATTTTCATTTCATTTAGGGTACCCACATAAAATGAATGACGAATTCTACAAGGATTTTTCTCAATTATTCCAAAGTGTTTGGTGAACGAACGTAGTCGTGGTCGCCGGAGACTTCAGTGCTCAAGTGGAATTCCTGGACAAACCATAAAGGCTTCTTGACCGTCCACACGCAATCCCAGCGAACAAATGAGACCGCAGGCTTCAACTTTGCGCGGACCACGGATTGTTCCTGTCAAGCAAAAAAGTGACCGCACAAGAAACGGCACAACCTTGCTTGAAAACGGCCAATCCCTTCACAACGCTGGACTCAAACTGATCACATCTCCATCAGCTACCGCTGGATAGGGTCAACTCAAGAATGTCTCTCTCACTGGTCAACATCTGGGGATACTTTTATCTTTATTCACATCCATACTTCTGATAACTTTTTCATCCTTGTTAACTTTAACAAAACTAGTTGTCAGAGCTGACCTGTGAGCACCGTTTTTCAAATTCAGGGTCATCTCTATGGAGCGCCTTTGGTGAAGATATATATACTTAATTTCACACACCTTAGGCCAGACTTTTATCATCAAACCACGATATAATAATGCCTATAAAAGAAACAATTACATGATCTGTATTTGGGCAGAATACTGCTGGGTTACCCAGGTCAAGTAGAGTGAATTTTAAAAGCGAAACAGTATAGCGAACAAGCTTGTTTTCGTAACTTCGTCTTCAAGCCTTTACAGTTATGTGTGCGTGTTTATATCTAATGTAGAAATAAATGTGATTGGATCATAGAGGTTATGTATGAAAATGCAGCAATGTCTATCAAGTTTAATCAGCACGAGTGGATAAAATGGGGACAGTGGGCGAAGGGGAGGGGGCGGGGGAAGGTCAATTCTGGAATTTTCGGTGACCTTTTTCTTTCTCTTTTCATGTGCCATTTGTCACGCCATGTTGCGTCATCACGACACGACTGAGGTCATGGTTCGGGTCATCACGCTGGTTTGGTTGGGGCCAAGGCAGCGGAATTGCGGCAACCATCTTCTTCTGCTTGCACAGTAGTGGGTCCATGATTTTGACTGCTACAGCTTCCACTGTTGCCAAGTGACGTTTCCGAACTTGCTTTGAATTGTTTTGGGGTACTTTGTAGATGACTTTGAATGCATCGTTGTCTGGCTGATGCCCGGTGTCAGCGAAGTGGGCCATAATCGCACTGGTTATTGTTTTCTTGTAATCCGTTCTCAGCCAAGCCGGTTTATTTTCTTTGATCCTTTGGGAAAGCTACCTCATCGTTCGTCCTACATAACTTTCCGAACATGTGCAAGTAAAGGAATACGTAATCTTAGATAAGGAGAGAATGGACAGCTTATTCTTGAGGTTTGTGCAGAGCTGAGGCCGGCTTGTAAACATCAAACGTAGAGTGGCGGCTGGAAATGTTCGTGTAATAGCTTTCTACAGACGTCTTCTTAGTTTATCACTACTCGAATCTCCTTTGAACGGGAGCTGCAAGAATAGTTCTTTCCTTTTGACCGTGCTTGGAACTTCTCGATGAACCGTTCCGGGTATCCATTATTTAGGGGTGTAGATTTGATGAATCTAAGTTCTTCCTTCAGTAGATCCTTGGAGCAAAGCATTCGAGTTCTGAAGTCCAAGCATTGGACCAAGTTTCGTTTAAATTTGATTGGGACGAAACTTTGAAAATGGGTGTATTGTCGGTTCCATGTTGGCTTTCGAAAAATAGAAAATAACCTTCCAATGGGCCCCTTCTTCAGGTTGACGTCGAGGAAGTGGAGCGTATCCCCATTTTCTGTTTCCATCGTAAATTTGATTGACGGATGAGCTCGGTTATAACATTGCCGCATTTTCATACATAACCTCCATGATCCAATCACATTTATTTCTACATTAGATATAAACACGCACATATAACTGAAGACGAAGTTACGAAAACAAGCTTGTTCGCTATAATGTTTGACTTTTGATATTCCCATGGAAATCTTCCGTGAATTAAGAGTGAATTTTATTCGGGAATTCACAACCGGAGCCTTTAACTAGCTAAAGCATGACTCGCAATGCAGTGGGACGGAGTGTGACAACTGCAAACCATTGGGGACCGTTGTCTAGTTTACCAGGTCAAACACCACGGGGACCGGGTAAAACGTTTAAGATGCCCAAACCTCGATGCCCCATTAAGCCGGCGACGGCTGCCGCAACCAGGACTTTATAGGTGTTTCTACCGCCGGATTTTCATCAAGAGTTATATCCAACTGCTATAGGTAAACTGCCCTTGGTTCATCAACCCGGTTTAGTCCCGGATGTTGACTTTTCGTTCTTTCACTTTGATGGGAAAACACGTCAATACGGGATTGCTCTAAAAAGGCTATTTGAGGTTCTTCGTCGTACAGGATCACCTTCGACGTGCCAGCGAAGAGTGCCAAGTATACTGTTGTTATAAAAGTTCAGTTCACGTGGTTACGTACGCTGAGGCTTTCGGAGTTATCTCATGTTCTTGCAGTTCTTGCAGTCTCATCCCTCGCAGGTAGAACAGACTTAGATGGTCTGTTCCCCAAATCATCATTAAAAAAAAACATGTTTTGCGTCAATATTTTGATCATCATTATCTGTGTCACCATCATCCCCGTTGCAACGGTACCCACCTTCAGCGTTTCTGTTGATAAAATATATTTTCCCGGAAATTCAAGTATTAAGTTCCTTCTTTTTTAACAAGAACCATGTGGGCTAAAGCCAACGGCAAATTTAGGTAACTGTTAATTTCCATTCTATGGGCAAACATTTTCACCTATACCGACATCGCTGTGTTTTCAAAATTAGAAATTATATAAAACATATCACATGACGCATCGATTTTTCGATACACTCCGAACGTTGTTCGGATCTGACACTTTGGATTGAGGAATGAACTTTCTATTTCCTGTGCTCCAAAATCACTCGCCATTCAGTGAAAACACAGACTCCTCTCAGGGACCTAAGACATTTGTACAACAGTTACGAACCCATAAATCATGCATAGACTAGAAAACACTAATTTAAATATCAATCGGCAGCCATGTCAATAATACAGAAAATAACAAATAAAAAGTGAGTTAGGATCACTAGGATGCCCAGACAACTAGGTGCGGTTACCGGCGAATGTCTCCCATAGGGTTTTCTAAATTATCCGGAGCCAATCACAGAAAATTGATGAAGTTTATTTCATCATACAGCTTCTGCAAGCGATAAGCTCATATTAAAGCAACAAAAAATAAATGTTAAATTTAAAGAGAAAAAATACATAAAATATAAATAATCCCTAAGAACTATAGTTTAGTACAGGGCATTTTTCACGAAGTATGGTGGTCACCAAATCCTAATTGACCATTACGTGACTGTAAGGTACGGCACTGGAAAATGTATACACAAAGATAACCAGTAAACCGAAATAGGGTCAAATATTACATGCCCTCAAAACAAGTCCGGAAATGTTGACACTCTTGAATTTAGAAGATATTACATGAATTCCATCTGAATTATGAATGCTTTCTCACTAAAAAGTATGCGTACAAATTCATATGGTTTCATTAAGGACCATTTATATATGATCAGGAAAGCATATACTTTCCAGAATGAAAGCATCTACGTCAGTTATGTGGTGTCTTTTAGGTGAAAAAGAAAACGACTACTACAGAAACAGAATAGGTTTAGTAGGTTACATCATATTCATGTGAATTATTTCAACATACCCCCATCGAAAATAACGATTTTCTGTTTCAAAATTGAAGGCGGATACACTGGAATTTTCCGTCTCTTCTTTTACTTCTGTATACTCCACAATAGGTATGGTGGTGCGGTAACTGGCGGTTTTGTCAAAATTTGCTATTATCATCTATGTGATGACAATGAAACAAGATATTACAGATGACTTACACCAAATTTCGTTCTTACGGTTTTCGAACGCCTTGCTTTATTGGAAGTATCCTTTTTATCTTGTCGACATGTGAGCCGTCCTAAAATTGAGCCGAATTTCTGCTGAGTTTCGGAAGAAGTATCTCCTGACAAAAGTAGATCAGTCGTAATAGAAGTTTCGAGCGGTTCATGATGACTTTCGAACTCCTTGAGTGAAGACTCTCTTAAAATATCATCTGCAGTTAATCCCTTTGCATTTTTCAACGTCGCGTCAGCTCCTGCCTCGAGCAACTGCTTCATTATATCAGCATTTCCAACATACGCAGCAGCATGCAACGGAGTATTACCTTCGATAGTAGCACTATATCTGAATTATAAATTGTCTTAATCATACCTGTTGATATCTGCACCATTTTTTATGAGTAAATCAATTATTTCTTTCTCGCAGAAGTATGCCGCGACGTAAAGAGCAGATTCCTTATACTGGTTTAACGAATTAACGTTAACATCTAGGAAAGACACTTATATGTGAAAAAAATTTGTTTTTACTATCTTTGAGCTGTTGAGTTAGTAATTGAATGTCCGCCGATAACACAGAAGACTGCAAGCGACCATTTCCACGACAAAGTATAACTTCCATCTTCCCACGAAAAAACCAAATGAAATTCAAATAGTTTTCAAGGTCAGTCAGGTCAGGTCAGTCAGTCAGTCAGTCAGTTTGCACAGGACAGGAGATGGCCACGGC